CCTCCTTCCCCCAACCCCCCCCCCCCCCCGTCAGCCAGCGATTACCCTTCGAGGTGCAATTGTATACATAGGTACAATCAAGTCACACACCACTGACGTATCAGGTTGCCTACTTCTGTTGCCTGGTTACTGCCCCTTATGTCTCAGAAGGGGAGCTTACTTACTGTTGTTCATACTGTCAACTTACTATTTATCAAGCTGTCAACTTCAACCCAGTCCTGAACCTACGTCGGTATGTACTTTTTTTGTGGGGAGGTGCTTGACACCAAGATTACAATCAAGTCACACACCACTGACGTATCAGGTTGCCTACTTCTGTTGCCTGGTTACTGCCCCTTATGTCTCAGAAGGGGAGCTTACTTACTGTTGTTCATACTGTCAACTTACTATTTATCAAGCTGTCAACTTCAACCCAGTCCTGAACCTACGTCGGTATGTACTTTTTTTGTGGGGAGGTGCTTGACACCAAGATGTTTCTCAACAAGGCATTCTATTACAACCCCTCTTGAATGTGCTGGCAACCTGTGCTTGGTACTTGTGTCTGGAACTTTTTGGCACTCTTTATACTTGAGCTGGCTTGTACTATTTCTTTTTAACCAAGCAGTTCTGAGCCAAAGTCTTGTCCGCTAGATTTCTGTCCTGCTGATTTTATGTTACTGACCCTCAACTTACTACACTGCCTACAGGTTTGGTTGAATCCGTAAATACCTTTTTATTCTTGTCATAAACTGTTCAGTGTTGCTCGAGAACGCCTTGTTAGAAAGCAGCTAGGTTGTATTCCAGAAGGAGCTACGTTTAAGTTGTATCAGAGGGGTAGCCATGTTAGTCTGAATCTGCAAAAGCGACGAGGAGTCCTGTGGCACCTTATAGACTAACTGAAGTGTAGGAGCATAAGCTTTCGTGGGCAAAGACCCACTTCGTCAGATGCATGTAGTGGAAATTTCCAGAGGCAGGAATAAATATGCAGGCCAGGATCAGGCTGGGTTGTATGTGGAACAATGCCTATACATATAATAAAAGTGCTATAGTTTGCAAAATACCTTAGTAACTTTTTGGGGGGGCTGGGAGAAAGGCTGTATAAACTTAAGCTAAATATTACATTCAATATACCAAACTACAGATTGTTTAGTAATTAATTCACTGTAAGCTATTCGAGCAAAAGAAAATGTCTTCCTGTTTTAATCCTAAAGTCTTCCAAAGTACTGTTACAAAAATGTTAATTTATGGAAATCGTGTTAAAAATCATTTTGATGTTTTGACATATCAACATTGTTTAAAGTTTGAAGTTTTAAATGACTGGCATTCTTTCCCCATTTGAACTCAGCACTATGCTTCTCTGTATTTATTTTGCCTGCATTCTTATGAAGTAAATCAAAGTCCATTATAATGAGTTAAGTCGAGATGTGCTCTGCATTGTGATGTCAAAGGCACAGAATGAAGTTTTGCTCATGATGTCTGTTGGGAGGATTAGATTGTATAATAAGGCTCTTTTGATTCACTGATACATATTTTTTTAAGTTCCAGTTCCCATCTGAAATTAGCACATAACCCCCTCCTATGTGTGATTGAGGAGAACACATTCTCACATTCGTCAATGATTTTGTCTCTTCACAGCCAGTAAAAGTTTAGAGTGGATATATACAGTACATGGTAACGAGAGTGTTTTAGAAGGATTTTGCTAATAGATCACTATCAAAAGCACAATTTATTCTCTATTGGCTGTACTCCTTACTGTAGTTTCCAACCCCCATATTTAATGTTCAATTGAAATAACTGCTGATGGATACAAATGAGTCAATCTAGTTTAATAACAAGTAATTATGGGATATGCTGTGAAGACAGATTTCAGAGTTGGGTTAGTTTGTGGTGAAGGTAAGATCAGAGCTTGTGTTTGGGTTTAGGGCCTACAGTTGTGAACCAAAGGGACCCAATCAAACCAAATTTCTAAATCCCTTAACAGCATCATTTGTTTCCATGAGATTTCTGCTATATTGGGTCAAAATCTTGCGAAAATGGTTGTTTTCATGATATTTTGGCAACACACTGACTATAAACAGAACGCTTTCTCATCCTGTATTGGAACAGGCCAGGAATCAACACAGTAGGGGCAGAACTGGATCTGGGGAGTTGAATCTGAAGTTCCTTCAGTGGTGGGCACAAGTACAAAAGCTTTGGGTCAAAGCAAGAACTTTTCATTAGAACCTAATAAAAAAGAGAATCAGTTGATGTCCAGGAAGTTCTTATGTGGAAAAGCCACAGGATTTTGCTTGCTCAACTCTTCAGTCCAGCGCTTTTGTAAAAACACTGGATCAACCGTTAATATGGGGGAGAGGAGAAATGTTAAGCCACTAGATTGCACATCAGCATTGGTTTAAAAGCTGATTACACTTTTTTCATCTTAAAATACATGGCAGGTTATTTTTTGAAAATAAGCTATGAAAATAAGCAAATAAGCTACCTTTGGAAACAAGATATTTTTCCTGTAAATTAAGAGAATTCTCTAGAACAGTTTTTCTCAGAATAAACATTTCTTGTCCACCAATACAACTAAAATAATGGAAACAAATTGTTCTAAAGTTCATGAATTGCAGTTCTCCTAATAGCTTGTCTTACCATCCACATGTGCTTGTTAATTTTATCCTTCAGTCATGGTTTTTTTTTTTTTTTTTTTTTTAGGGCCTCTGTGCATATCATACTATTCCCATTGGTGTATTAGGCAGTGCTTTATCCGATAGCATCTTCCTCATTCTCTGACACTTCATTATGGAAACAAATAAACTAGAGTATTTTATAGAGGAGACTTTCTAGAGTCCTGTTCCTGTTCAGTAAAGATTAGTTGACTGAAATACTGGAATATTCACTCATGAAACTGTCTGGTTTGTAATTTCTGGAGCTCCATTGGTAACCACTATTCATAATTTGTATTTATTTTTTCTCTTGCAGATGATATTAAAGTATCAGTAAATGATTTTATTATCAAAGCAACAGCAGTTACTCTCAAAGTAAGTAAATAATTTGCCTTCAGTAAAATAGTTGTAGAATAAACTTTTTTAAAGAAGGACAAGAGAAGTATTGATGGTACTTGTTCAATGCTACAGTACAGCTTTTTTTCTATGTATATATCTTTTTAAATATTGTAAGCACAGTGCTTCATGTTCTGCACTGTGTATTGATTTTTGACATGGAATTTAAGGTGTTGGTATTGATTTAGTGAACTCCTAAATGCCCTAGGATTAAAGCTAAGATTTTGTCATAGATACAGGCAGTCCCCGACTTATGCGGATCCGACTTATGTCGGATCCGCACTTACAAACAGGGCTTTCTCGCCCCGGAGGTCGAGGTGGCGGATTGCTACCTGCGAGCTCCGGGGCGAGAGAGCCCTGTTCGTAAGCTGCTCCGGTGCCCCTGGTCTGCTGGAGACTGTCTCCAGCAGACCAGGGGCACCGGGCGGGTTCCCGCGCTTCTGAGGCTTTGC